ACACTCACTCTCTCCATTTCAGTTTATGCAGAAGAGCAGCTGTTATATCTGAACTCCTTCACTCTCAATGTTCCTGGAGATTATTGTGGAGCAAAGCAGCGAACAAAATGCAGCATCTGGGTGTAGCGATGTCCACCTCCCCTCAGCCCCCGGCCTCCAGACCCAGCAGCCTCAGCCAGGGTTGGTCTGTACACTGATTCTCTGCTGCCTTCAGCGCCACATGACCACCATGCCTGATAACTGAATGTGACATTTGAACTTTTCAACTAAAAAAAAAAAAGTCTCATTTTAGAACAATACAAATTCCAGAGATCTCCAAAATATGTCCACCTATGTAAATTATAATGATGCTCCTGCCACTGGGTCATCTGACAGACTACAAGTTGACATTTTATGAACACATATTTAACTTTTCCTGTTTACTGGTCTTAGCTTGTAACTAACAACAACCTGCTGTATTGTGTGAATGTCAAAGGTTTTCTTGCTTTTGCTGTTATTGAGCTCTCCTTGTATTATATTGAAATATGAAGACCAAAGTTCGCTTTGTATATAATGTATCTTTAGTCTGACTCAGGTAGTGTTTAGTTTGCTGATGCAAGTGCTGGAAAAGCATCTGAAAGCGAGTCTAGAATCATATTTGAGAAAACAGGAGAGACAACCAGATAACACAACCTGATGTGATTAAGGGTTTTTAACCAAGCACTTCCAGCACACTCCATGTTGTCCACACAACTGGAACCTGTGCTCCACTCAACAATAACCTGTTCATTAAGAATAACCCAGCAATTATTTGGGTCCAGCAATTATTTGGGTCCAGCTTTATCTTTCGGACACTCGAATCACAATCAAACCCTTCATGTGGTGTTGCTCTGCTGGGCTGCCTAAGGGCTCTACGACCTGACCAACACCAAGTCCACCACGGCTAACCAACGCCAGCAGAAAGAGGAGCATGATGCTCCATCCTTCCTAAATAGCAAACTGATACAAAAACATGTCAAGATTCTAGCAGCTGCTCAGTGCGTTCTGTCATTCAAATATGAAACATTTAAAGCTTGCTTTACCCACCCAGTCCCTGGAAATAATCTGCAGTAAATTTGATGCGTTTAAACATTTTACCAATTTGCTGAAATACATTTTCTGATGTCAAAAATAGACAAAGCATTAATTCCTATGGGTCTGCCGAACGTCCCTGAACACTCCACCGCTGGGTGGAGCCGGGGAAGAATGCCAGATACTTTTTAATGACAAGTTCAGCTTTAGTTGGTGGGAAAAAATCTCCACTAAGAATTCAAACGAGACCGTTATTATTGTTTCTCTGCCTTCGGACCAAACGAAGGCAGAGAAACATCAGACCACGTTCGCAACCCTTGACATGTCAAATACTCTTCCTCCTATCAATTAAACTATTCACTTGATATTGAAAATAATGATACAATAGGCTAATAAAGACTGTTTATTATCAATTATTCATTATTCTATAACCAAAGCCATTTAGAAAATGAATGCCCATATTTGTGCAGCAGTTATTATCCAAGAGAATAAAAGCAGCGATTCATCCATAAGAAAACAATCACTTTCAAATTCACCTGTCATCAGCGTCCAGTAGCTCTTTTTCAAACTCAAAATTTGTCAACAGACTAATCAGGAGTCTCCAAAGTTGGTCCTCACAGGCCGGCATCCTGCATGTTTTAGTTCTCTCCCTGATTTAACGCACCTGGATCAAATGATGGCTGTTAGAGGCCTAAGAAGAATATTGACATGCTGAAAAGGTCGTCACTACCACCAAGGAGAGAACTAAAACATGCAGGATGCCGGCCCTCCAGGACCCACTTTGGGGACCCCAGCTTTAAATCAAATAGCCTCTATTTCAAATGGCTGCTGGAAATAATTCAGGATCTATTTCCAGCAGCCACTAAATGTTATTGAAGAAAACATCTAATGTTAATAAGCCCAAAAAGTCCCATAACTAACAATATCATTAATATGATGCTAATAAAGTCTAAATATTTATTTGAGCATCCACAAATCCTTTTTTAATCTCTGCAGACTCAATGGATGTCAAAATATAGAAATTATAAACACTGACAAACTTCTGCTTGAATACATCAAATTCAACACTGAAACCTGTGTTAATGCAGCATAAATTCAACTTAAAACCTATCTGAAATGATACAGTTCACTTCAGATTAAATTTGCACATTTAATTGTGAAATTAATATTTTTACTTTGTAGGCAGCTGTAAAAAATATGGAGTTGTGTAGAGAGGATCCATTTTCAAATCATTTTCACTCTGGTTTGTCCAGACTATGTGTTCATCATTTCCTACTGATCAGGACTACGGAGAGAGATGTTCTCCCCCAACAATAAGGACTCCATACATGTGTGCATACACATACACACACACCCACACACACACACTAGCTAGCTAGCTAGTCTGCTCTGAGCTGCCCACCGTAGGCTTCCCCAGATCCCCCCCATCCTTCCCAATCTCCCCCATCCACCAATACCTTCCACAAGCATTCCAAAAACATCATGATGAATACTATTACTGTCTTAGAATGTTACAACCTATCCACGTGCATCTTCCACAAAACACAGACAGACACACACTCGCTGCTTCTACGTTCACAACATGACCAGGGTCAGGGGCTGCCCCCTCCCCCTGTAGCTAATAAGTTCAGACCTGCCACTTGCAGCATAAAAAGAGAGAATTGAAGCCTTTTTCTTGTAGAAAGTGGGCTGCCCCTCCCCCCTCCATAAGGGCCAGTCCCCTCTGAACACCCCTCCTCCTCCTCCAGCACAAACACACACCTCCATTGAGGTCCCATTTCACAAACAACTGAATACTGCAACCAAAAGGTGTAGAGGCAATTTTAGAGCAACACCAGTAGCTTCTTCATAGACTGGATTTGAACCAGTACCCATCACACCCACACTGGCAACATCCCCAAAAACATTTAGTTTCATGTGGAATTTTCAAACAATTTGATATTAAACGAAAACAGGTTTTGTTTGCTTCCCTTTCCTGATTTACTTGACCATAAACATGGATTCAATTGAATCCACTGCTGACTTTATGAGGTTTTTACAACAACAAAAATCGTTTTGGTAATTTTGAGACCGTAAAACCTCATAAAGCTGCATGCAGGTATCTAATATGACTAATGAATTAAACAGCACGTTCAAATCATTTTCACCATTTCGTGACATTTTAAATAACCTTGCTGTTGACGGGTGGCTGTATGGACGGCCATTTTAAGATGGAGATCCTAAAAGTTGGGCCACGAGAGAGAAATCGCGGAATTAAAGGAAGGACAGAGCCGCAAACAATCCGCTGTTAATTGTGCCGCTAAAACAGGGTGCGTCAGCCGCAGAAGGGCCCCAGACGCACACACTGCGGGTGGGGAGTGAAGCACGCTGCCTGCACACTGTTGCAGCCAGCTTTTTTCAACTGAAAGCTTCGCCATTTTGCTGACTGCCTGATGTGGAGTGCTTCTTTTTCGCCCGCTGATACCACGTGTTTAAGCGCCATAGAAAGCCTGTGGCTCACAGTGGTCCCTACAAACCGTGTTTTCCACAAATATTACCACATGCAAGGCCTGCGGGTCCCTTTGCACATCACAGCAACTTCACAATAATTATTTGGACAATTCGAACATTTACGGCCTTCCTCTCTTCGCGCTGGTCGAATTTAATTCTCATTTTTCGAGATGTTTCCTTCCTTCGGCGTAAAATAACGTGGGGGTTCAGCTACAGTGTTGCACAATTTTAACTGCAATCAGGCAGCAGGGCGGACACCTAAAAACTCATCTTAATCAAATACTTTGTGCTATTATCGTGCAGGGGAGTCTCCAAAAACATAGTTGGGTGGAATATGAACAAGCACAACACGACCTGATCGTGGATTATTGTGATAATGAAGCACATAGAGGAGCACACGGGAAGCCAAATGGCGGAGCTGTGCTGTATCTGTGCCAAAGGTTACAGGCAGGAATCGAGGACTATAAGCGAATTCCATAATGCTGCTAAAAGCAGGTCTGGTCTGGATCTTAATACAGAGCAGCTGAGCTACAGTGAACGCCAAATTATTCTCCGAAACGAGGAATTTTAAACGCTATATGTAGACCTATGTGGTAATAATATTCCATATTTACCCCCTGCACAAGAGGGAATATTTTATAACGAGGTTTGGTCTAGAAAAAAATAATATAAGGTTGCAGTTTCTAAACTAAAAAACATAGATACTAAACTAAAATGGTGAAATTTACAAAAAATGTAAACAGTGAATAAGAGTGTATTTTATTTGGGACTCCAGTACAAATGCTGTAGAATTCAACAAGCCTTCAGTAGAACAAAAACTGGACTCCACATTAACGTAAACACGTCAACTGTACTGGCATAAGACGCTGAAATCAAGTGGTTGAATTCACAGCACGTGCATGCAGAAGCAGACGATACATATAAAATAACTTTGCCATAATGCATGAGATAAATGCATTTAAAAAGACATTTCCAGAGCACAACACACACACCCCTATTTAACACTGTGGCCACTTTTAAAGCAGCTAGTGTGGCCTGCTGAGTTGAACAGTTTATGGCGACGACTTTGTCCAGAAAATTGTCTGTAGCACTTTAATGTATCCAATTACTAAGGTTTTATATCTAACCAATATCAACACATTTAAAAGAGGAGGGAAATGCAGGCTACAAGAAGCCAGGCGAGCACAGCAGACTCCACCACCAGAGCTATCACAGTGCAGTTCTTCAGCAATGGCCGACAGCGTTCAAACCAACGACACAGCACGGTTCTCCTCTGCTAGCTTCCCAGAGCCGCTTTACACTACAACACATGAGACTGCTTCTTATGGACACACACTCAGAAAATCAGCAGAAAAGGCGGCTTCATCCTTCTGAAATTTCACAGAACGTAAAGTGGTGAAACACATTTAGAGGTGTGTTTAGAAGAGGAAGAGTTGAAAGTGTTTAAGGTTTTTCAGTACCTCTGCTTCTTGGGGACAGAGTGCTCGACCTCAATACGTTTCCCATGAAGTTCCACTTTACCTGGGGAAAAAATACACAAGGAGAGTTCAGAACAAAAAACGTGGCTACATGCTAACTGTTTAGTAGCCTTGTAGGCCTAATGAGGGGGGTTTGGAGTTTTTAAGCTGCAGAGCTTAAGTAATGGGGCCACTGTAGCAATCTGTTTTTCAGCCTATTTATTAAAAAACTAAAATAGCACATAGGCTAAGAAAAGACTCAAAGGAACACCCAAGTGCTTCACAGCATTATTTTTAAAGTACTGAAAGAACCTGTCACACAATTGTGTAAATTCGACCCAAACCTTCAGTTAAAATGCGTGTGTGTGTTTTGACATTTTAGGTGGAAACTGTCGCCAAAAATATGTTCTCGTAATTAAGAGAGTTCAGGCAGAAGAAGAGGCAGCTGACTGGCATGGCGACCTCGCCACTCCTCATGTTACACATGTAGGAAACCATGAACTGTTCGCTGTATGGGGGCCACGGCGAAGACGAGGAAAGGAAAGGCTGTGACGTTCAGAACTGGGTTTCTGAATTTGCTGGACCACTCAACGTAGGTCAGCTTTTTATCTATCTTTGTCATGGTGGACTCTCATCTTTAAGGGGGAGGGGAGATAAGTAAAGCTTCACTCTATATCACTCGGCAGGCTGTTCAATCAAACCTCCTGAGGGGAAGACACATGCAACATATTGTCTTTTTTTTCTATTCAGAAAATAAGTTATTTTGTTTGGTACATTACAGTGACCTCCAGTATATACATTCACCACCACGACCGTAAATTTCCAGAATACGTGACCCTCCCCCCTGCAAAAGTTGAATGACTCCCCGGGGCGTATAATCCGTGGCACCCCTTCATTCATTAAGTCACTGCCGAAGAAGTTCCCAAACAGAATGCATGGATTTTTATGTATCGCCTTTTTGCAAGAGCCTGGAAAATTTCACAAAGAATAAAACGAAGACACACTGTTGAGGGTGAGCATGGAGCCGGGGCTGCACGTCCGCGTCTGACGCTGAAATCACTATGAATTAAAAAGAAGCTTTCGACGAAGAATAATCATTTCAAACTCACCCGAAAAAGTCTCGATTGCTTTCATTGCCCAGTGATCATCTGGACAGTCCACAAAGGCATAGCCGTTTTTCATCAGGAACTGTCCGGAGTATGGGATCTTGTGATCCTCGAAGGTTTTGATCAAGTCCTCGGCAGTCACGCTGTCGCCAAGATTCCCAATGTATAGTTTGTGCATTGTGACTTATTGTTTGTCACAGTCCAAAAAATATGAAAAAAGAAGGAAATCCCCCCAAAAAAGGAAAACGATGAATTTTAAGAAATCAAAAAGTTTCGATCGTGAAACTCAAACAGTGTAAGCAGCTGCCCTGTCACACTGCTCACTGCTCTCACACACAAACTGGAATTCACGCTAAAGGATGAAAATGTTTAACAAAAAAAAAAAGGATAAACAAAATGACTGGCTACAGAGCAAAAGTTACAAATCGGACAAAAGTCCAAATTTAAAAGGAAAAAAAAAAACAATTTCAAATGTCGAAGCAGGAGGTGAGTTGGTGTGTTTGTAAATCCAGATGGATTAGAAGAGCAGAAGAAATAAAATCCGATGAATCGCAGCCGGTCCAGCAGTCGAAGCAGCAGCCTGCGGGCTCTCCACGGACTGTGGATCACAGGGGGTTGGAGCTGATGGGTGGATGATGGGTCTGTGCTGGAAGAGTGGGGGAAACTCTGGCGGGACCAGATCAAATCGGGAGTAGGCTTGTGTTTTCCTTTCTCTCTCTCTCCTTTCTACCCCTGTCTTTCTTCGCTGGCTGCCGGCTGAGCGGTGACGCCGCCCCTCTTCAGACTCCGATTCACGATTTTTTTGTTACCACGTGGTCTGGTTGGAGTAGGGTAGAGGCGGAAGGGGCGGGGCCACGTTTAGACTTTAGCTTCGCCAGATGAGAGATGTCTCCATTCCACTCGCAAACGTCTCTCTTCTGTGGATTTCTGTCTTTTCTGCTTATTATTTAAGACAACAACCAGTTTCAGTTGTTTCTGCTCGTCGTTACAGTGACCTTTATGAAGTAGGTCAACAGTGTCATCTGAGTGCTTGGATTTCCACTTGCTATTTTTATTTGCCCCTTCCAACACATCCTGATGTTTATATGGAGGGAAAAAAAGTAAACATGGATATTTGAAGTCATCACTAATAGTTTTGCTTCTTCAACTTTTGTTCGCAGTAACAAACCTAAATTTTCCTGCAGAGCTGTAGTGGCCCTGCTTTATTTCTCAACACATGTATCTTATAGCAGAGTTTGTATTTATTGAAACTGTGAAAACTGCAGCAGCTTTCCTTTGTGACATTTCCCAAAGTCAGACGGATATTAATTCAAAAGTCTTTGAACTGCTTCAGATTTGGTATTGAAAGTGTTATTTATCGCCCTGGATGTATTTTTGTGTTTTTAACCTCACTCCAAAAGCGCTTAAGCTAAATTCTCGACCTTCATGTTTACATCAGTTTTAATTGTGTTGCACAAGTGAACAAATAACATGGCGCTGTCTCAGACCTGCAACCTCTCAAAATGGAGGCTGCAACAGTTGCGAAGGCCCGTCCTGAGCGCGCGGGCTACGTGGAGGTGGGCTGTGTCATTATGGCGCCGCGTGGCGTGCTTATAATCCGCTAGTTGGTTCAATCTGCTGCCCCGAACCCGAATCTGAGTCAACGTGACTATTTCAATGCAGTGATAGGTGAGGCTCATCATGGTCAGGGTGCTTCGTGGCGTCTCTGCGAAGATGATCCGAACCCTGAAGGCGGGTCCAGAGCTTTCCGTCTGTCCAGACTGTTACTGGGTCCGATATGAAGACCCAAGAGTTCTGAACCCTTAAGGACTAAGTAGCATCTTATTCAAACATCTCAGGACGAAGCTAGTATTTTAAAAAAATATTGAATGACTGGACTGCATAATTTAAATATAGCTATTACATTCAAAAGCCTTAGTATTACTCCCATTACATTTTGACTAATCTACCAAACCTGTGACAACCCATCACTTCATACACTCAGCTGCCCAGTTACTGCAACCAATCCTGTGAGATTCAGTTCAAGGGTTTTTTTCCATTCCCTGAGAAAACTTCAGCTCCATCTCTGCAACCCACCTTTGTTCGTTGAGAGAAACATGCAGGTCAAAGGGCAGCTCTGTGGCTCAAACAGCACCGACATGTTTTCAAACAAAGGTAGAGAACATTCCTTGTTAAAAGCTCAACATGAGCTTTTAACAATCACACACACACACACACACACACATATATATATACATACACACGTACACACAGTAATCAATACCTAAAAAAACAAAACCAGCTGTCATCTACCTATGTGTGGTATCCATGTTTCCCATATCTTAGACACAACCAGGTCTATTTGAAGTCCAGTAAAGAGTTTTTTTTTCCTTGTATAAATAAAAATACCAATAATTAAAAGAAAAAAACATTCATAAGTTGTGACCTCTTGGGGTCAAAGTCCATGGATACTGGACTTTGAACCCACACACCTCCAAGCACAGCTCCATGCAAATTTCATAATGTGTTTTCTAATCCTACCTGTAGGAATAAACAAAACAATAGGCTATAAATAACTACAACTAAAACTAGAAATAGCAATAATCACATTATTTTTAACCTTAAAGTACTAGAGGTAATTCCTAAAACATGAACCATGTATGTAGAATTAAATGGAAATTCCACATTCTAAGTCCAGTTCAGGTCTGGGTGCTGCAGCTTCACTATTAAGCATCTGTGTTTGAACACATACCGTTGAGAACGCATGATAAAGAATTATTATTCTATAATTATAAAGATGCATGAATGAGTGATCACTTTTTTCATTTTCATTAAATCATTAGAATGTTTTAATCTTGTTTTCTGTGGTGTCAATTTACCGCTGTTGTCCTTTTCCTTTTTTTTTTTTGTTTTCTTTTTTTACGAGTTTTATTACACACACTACATTTCCCTATTTGCTGGGAAATGTAGCAGTGGTAAAGATCAAAATGTTTTATCAAAAATATGAGCAAAGTCTAGAAAGATGTGCTGTGATATGGATAAGAACTGGATTTGTAAAGGCTGCATGAAGAGTTGCTGGTTTCCAAGAACTCAACTGTAGTCTTCATATTTTCCTAGCAGTTGAATTTAGTGCATTTCTATAGTACCACTTCTCCAAAAATTTCTCAATTTCCTCAGAAAAAAAAGTCAATAAAAGTCAATCTGATTATACAGACTGAATCAGATGCATACTGCAGTAGCTAGTAGCTTCTATGGGTCAAAAGCATTAAAAACAGTAAAATTACGATGTTCATGAGTACTTTTACTATAAGCTAACATTTCCTTCCAATTTAGGAACTTGAAACTATTAAGTAGAATAAAGTAGTCTTCATTGTCTCAGAATGGGGGACTCCACAATGTTGAGAGGATATCAAGGCATGTAGGTTAACACAAAGATAAAATGTTGCTTTTATTTGTTAAGAATAAAGATACTTCATTGCTACATGTAACATATTCAATGATAATTTACTGATTTTTTTCATCGTTCTTCCCCTCTTCAGAAGAGCACGTGAGCAGCGCTTTCTGTGTGCTTGGGGGGAGGGGTGGAGATGCAGAGGTCAAAGGTTGGGGAGAGACGGGGTGAAGTGGGTGGGAGACAAACAGCCCGTTAATGCTGATGTATCCTCTGTTCTCTGCGTTTCATTCTTAGAATGTGAGATCACCACATTCCAGATTAGATTGTCATCATCCCTCTGGTCAGCCTGTGTCTTTGAAGTGTTGCATGACAATATTAAATATTGTTTAGGTTTTGAACACAGACTTTTTGCCATTCCTGTTCCTGACATGTTCCACACTTCTTCCAGAGCCAATCACCAGCACCTGATGAGAGCACAACTATGTCACCCCACAGGATGACTGGTGTTCTGGTTGGTTTAGCCGTAGCAGAGGTATGACTACAAAATTCATTTCCAATTTACACCAAATGTTGGCAGCAGCTTCTAAGAATCCTGAACCACCAGGTTTGCCTCCGCCAGAGGCTTTACATCAAGGAGATGCAGAGGAAGATGGCGAGCCGGGCTCAACCTTGAATGATGAGCATCCTGCAAGACAGAGAGAGAAAAAATCATTCTCAATAAAAAATTAATTAGAGCACAAGTCATTCTATTATTAACAGATGGACCAGAGCATGTAATAAATTTATCCAAAGCCACAAACAGATGTAATCTATTTTTATCCAAAATTTTTAACAACACAAACACGAATGATCACAATACACACCTCAGTTTTGGTACACAATTGTGTGGAAATTCTGAAGATTGTATCATAGCAACAGTTAGCCATTTTAGTAATGATTAAATAACCTTTAAGAAGGTATTTAGCATCTTTTTTATTAATCCCAGATCTACGCATTAGGTTTTTTTTATTTGTCTGATGTAATATTGTAATTTTAAGTGTTGAATTTTCACAACACTTTATAATTTACAAAAATTATAATTAAGAGAATTAAAGGAAACACCAGCCAGTGTGGAATTAACCCATTCAATAAAAATGAAATGTCCATTTAGTTCAGGAACTTTATCAACTTTATGTGTTAAAGTGTAACTAAATGAATATTTGAAAGCCCTTAAATTTGTTAACTGGTGATTTTCTACTTGTAGTTGATGAACCATTGCATTTAAAAAAAGAATATTACATCAGACCAATGAAAAGACTACTTTATGTAATATCCAGTTAAAGGTTGTAAACAGGCCTCTTCTTAACACATACTGTAATTTATTTTAAAATGACTGTACATAATGTGTTCCATTCTGTGAGTTTAGTTCCTGAAGTTAACTTTTCAAAAATATTCTGATTAGTCAAATATGACTATAAACTTTGATGTTTTCAGCACCATGTGACGCCTGTGGTCCAGGTGAAGACCTAACTCTACCTCAGACGAGATATACTTCCTCAATAAACAGAAATATGCACATTAAAATGTTTAACGATTGTTTTAATGGAAACTTTAAAAGGAAGTAAACCAGAATGATATTAAAACAAACATCCATTCACAATTTTCACTGAATTATTTTCAGACACAGAGCTTGTTTTGTGCTCCAGGTTTGAGCAAACAGTCTTGTGTAAATTCAGTGTCTTCCTGTGGAGACAAACATGTTTAAAGACCTTTGGCCTTTGGTCCATACTTACTCTGAAGTAAGTATTCTGATGTTTTTGTGGCCTATCTGCTGCTGGACTAACGACGCAACGTCACAGAGCAGAGACGTCATTCCAGTTCACTTCCCCGTTTCTGGCAGTGAACTGGAAACCACTGATGTAAAGATTGTCGTTCTACGTTGAATTACTTGTGATTATGAATGTGTAAATAACATCCAGATTTCAGAAGCACCAGATGGAACAAATGGACCTGATTTCTTACATTAGGCAAAACCAGGACCAACAGCTGAAAATTCACAACTTCCACTCACTGCATATATGAAGAGAATATAAAAAAAAACTCCGCTTCATCCAATTAATGCATCTGTTTTTAAGCCATGAAGACAGATTATTGACCTCCATTGTGCAAGATACACTTTGTTATTTCAGTCAAGCAGAGTTCTTTCATGTTTCCAGTTCAACATTTGGAACATTTTAAAACAAAACATTTGCTTGATAAATATAGAGATTTTTGGTATCAGATCTATTTTTAAACCTGTCACACACAAGACTATCTGAACTGCATTAACTCACATTATGCTCGTTCTTTAAAATCACAATGTGAGATCTTCTTAAAGATATAAAACAAATGTTAAGATGTGGCTTGTTTGGCAACTGAATCAGATCCAGTTGAAGAATCACAGGTCCAATTTAAAGCCCTGAATCAAAAAGATGCTGTGAAATGTTTGAAGTTTCATCTATTTTTCTTAAGTGTGGATTTATGCAAAGGCTTTATGTCAATAATTCAAACATCTAAACATGCAGCATAAACATTACATTATGATGTGGCAAACCTAATATGAAGTATTTGAACTAAATATAAAACTATATAAAGAAAAATACTGGGGAAAACAGGATAGAAAGTAAAATCAATTTAATTCTTCATTCTATTTTTCTCTATATTAATCCAAATTTGATTGATAATTTCCACAGTTAAGACATTTTGGGACAGTATATAGGAACCTGTTGAAAAAAAGAGCAAGGTAGAGAAAGTTACTTCTTTAAAAAAACCTGAAAAGCTTTGTTGTTTTTAGCTTCTATGCAAAATTTAGAAAAGCTGAGCAGAGCAGAACAGAAGCAACAGGAGATTTGTGATGAAAAAGATTTGACAGTTTTTGTGCATTATTATGTTTGGTAAATTAAGAAATATCTTTGCTCTGAAGTCATGCGAATCAATGTACAAATTTGAATTATTCTTCTATTCCAAAGAAATAGGATGTAGAGCAGATGGAGATGAAAATAATGCTCTGCACTTACTTCCTAAATGTACAAGATCAAAAGAAGTAAACAGAAATACTGTGAAGCTGCACATAAGAACAGAACTGAAGTAAAAATACACTGTAACTTTCCACTACAGCTGGTTTAAAATGATTTCATCTTAAGCTTTTAGTTTTCATCAGCAGATGAAGTTCTGAGGTCGTCCTAACTGGGAAATCGATTTGATGGAAGTTGTGGTGATGATTGTCTCGCATAGGATCATTTTTCCTGTTTTCGCAGATTTAAATTCACTTGTCAGGAACTGAAATGCTCTAGAGGTCTAGTTAACGTCCAAAAACTCATTCAGTTTTTTAATACTAAAAAATGAAAGTTAAATAACCTTTAAATTATCTGGAGGAGAAAAATCTAAATATGTTAGTTAGTTTCATCCAAAGTTATTAGCTTATTAAAATTAAATGTTTTCACAAGTTTTGAAAAACAAGTTAAAGTATTTGTCATCTTTTTCTTGAAGTAAAGATTAAGTAAAATCTCTTTAGTCTGTTTAACATTGTGATGTAGTAGCTTTCTGAAGTTAAATCATTGGTCAGAAAAGCCCAGTTTGTAACAGAAATCCCTTTAATTCTATCCCTTTAATTCTATTAAAGGGATTTAATATCCAAATGTTACAAATACATTTGTATTAGTATTTGTAACATTTAAAGTTACTCTGTCATGCAAAGTGGGATATTACTAAACTTCCTACATTTGTTTTGACTATTTATTTATTTATTTTTTAGCTCTCTGGTTCATTTTTAATGTTTACATCAACTATTTCTACGGTGGTCAGGCCTTAGAAACAACATGAAAAACCACAGACTCAGTAAATAAATCATCAGGAACTACACTTTTTATAACAAATTTATATTCAAAAAGTAGAACTGTTCACCTCCATCAACATGAGGACAGATGGCAAATTAAACCTATGAAAATGAATGGTTACACCTCAGGCTGACAGTTCTAACCCTGGAGGCTGACAGCCTCCAGGGTTAGACGTGAGGCAGTTACTGCTAAATGCCTTGCTTGGCCAGCTGCATAGAAAAATTACAGATGTTAATATTCTAGTACAAACCAAACAAAGAAAGAAAAAAAAACCATCTGGAAAAATAAAATTTTTTCACTATGGTTTTTTTTTTTATTTTTCCATATTTAGTCAAATCTGAAAATTCTATGTCATTCTTTTACTATTCCTTTTGTCTGAAATTGCTAGTAAATGAGAAGAAACCTCAGGTGAAGTCCCCGCACAAAGGTGCATTAAACCTCACAGGGACGTCTTTAAATGATTTATGTTCAACTTTTAGAGATGAAAAGTTTGGTCTCTTCAGTATTGTACAAAAGTAAACAAAGGAAAATAGAAACATGCTACCCAGCTAGCAGGTGGCTCTTACTTCCTGCGCTGACATCATGGAAACAGGATGTGCTCTCTGAGTTTTCAGCCATCATAAAAATTCACATTTCACCAGGGATTTACTGCTGCACAGAAAGACAAACGGTTAGGTGCAAACACGGATTAAACACCTGAAAAAACAAACAAGAAAACTCAAGAGTTAGAAAAAATAAAAACAAAAAAATGGAAAAACACAAGCCAGCTTTGTCCACAAATAATGTCTCATATTTTACATTTTAGTTTGGCTCTGTTTTGTTTAATTATGAAGCATTTTACATGAAAATTTATTTACAACTTCTTGCAAATGTTAAATTAAATGAAAGTTTTAAAATATCACCCTTTTATAAGATATTGCTTGAATATTATCGAATTTGTAGATATTTTTTGTGTTAAATTATGTATTGCAACTGTATTTTTATTTATTTATTTTTGTTTAATTCTACAACACCTGATGAATGAAAAAGTTTGTTGTGGCTGAATGTGGCACATTTGATGATTCATTTACCAACTTAGATTTCAAATAATCTGTCATACCCCATCAGGTTTAATAGAAAAACATTGCAACTTACAAAATAAAAGATTGTTTTTCTTTTTTTTAAGTAGGTTTCAAACATTTAGAACATTTTTCAAATGAATATTTCTTTTTCTGACATTACAGTTTTGTGGTTTAACTTCTTCCCATTTTCACTCTAACTTTTTGGATGATGTTTTTGCTTGTTTAGGTTTAAGTCTTGGGGCCAAAATGTTGCCAAGGTACGTTTCTGGCTAAATAAAGGTTCATTTGTTTGCTTATTCGTTCATTTATTCATAGCTGTTTATTGAAGTGCACTTTCCCTGCGTAATAAACTACAAAACTAAAATAGAAAAGTAGATGAGTGATGATGGGAATAAAGTAGCATGAACTGGTTCTAGTACCAGTGCAGCAGAACGATCAGGACCCAGACAGGATCTTTAAATAAAAGCAGAGTGCAGTAGCTCTTTAAATATGACACAATGCCTTTAGAAGCAACACTTAATAATAAATATTCAAAGCAAATATAAAAGCGAGAATATGAGATGTTTTGAAAACTGCTCGCATGATTTGAATTCAAATCTAAATCAGGTTATTTAGGATCTGGTTGCCCTCGTGCAGGTCGGTCACAAATTCCACTGAAAACATGGCTGTTAGCACCGACATGAAGGACACGAGCATGGATTCATCACGATCAAAACAACAACAACAACAGAAGTTAACTGTTTGTGAGCCGGACTCACCGAACTTTAGGAGTTCTGAGCCCAGCAGGTCCTGCAGCCCGGAGCGGAGCAGCTCAGCTCAGCTCAGCTCAGCTCTGCGCTGCGCTGAGCTGCCACAAAATGGAGCGAGACGCGGCGGCCTGCGTGGGGGCCGGGGGAGGGGGAAGGGGGCCCAACATTATGGGAAACAAAGCACAACACATGAAGCGGGCCGCAAAAAGAACCAAAAACATTGTTTGATTCCCAGGAAACGTGCTGGCGTCAAGAACACGTTCAAAAGTGGGGAACATATTTTTTTGTGCAGCTGCCGGTACAAAAATGCAAGTTTTCAACGTTGTGTATTGATAATTGAAAATATTCAACTTACCTCATGAACTGGACCGTTTCAGTTAAAGCAATAGAAACAAAGAGGGGAGACGGAACTAAGAAACCTCCTCAAGCTGCTTCCTCAGGTCAACTACTTCTCAGAATCATCTCTCTGACACGAAACAAAAAGCCGTCCAGCGTCGTCTCTGCACGTCTGTCGGCAATTTAGCCGTGTAGCTCACCCCTACATGTGGATGTCTCCAAAAGTCTCGTTGAAGCCATTTAAAACATCAAGATGCTGCGATTCTCTCTGTCTGGGCCACTACCGCCACCTACAGGAGAACATGCAGCATAACACCTGGGCCTGTAGCTCCAGCCGAGGCCTCCAGCCTGAAGAGCCGCTGAGGCCCGAAACGTCTCCGGGGAGAAACTCGTCAAACAAGACATGAACCATCCTGCTGATCAGATAAACACCGTCCTGCCTGTTACTGGCTTAATCAGCCCCATCACCTCTGTCAGATATAAACAGTACAATTCAATGGATAAAAATAAAAATCTTTAATAAATTATAAACCTCAAATTGAGCATAATCATGGAATTATCACAAAAGTAACAGTGCAATAATCACATATTTTTCTCCATGTATTTTACACATTTTATAGAGCGCAAATTAAAGGAATTCATAAGTAATTAAGACGTTTCCGTCTATTAAACTCAGAAAGTCACTGAACGTCGATTTGTTTGATCCATTTGACTGATTATCAGCCGTCAGAAACAACCGATAATCATGTTCACTGCGGACATGTGAACGAAAAATGACCCGGTTTGAAGCCGACGCGGGATGCGCAGCGGCCCTGAGCCGGGCCCGACAAGCAATCAAAAAAATAGGCGCGACGAAGCCGCGTATCGAAATGGGAAACATTTTTTGATCAATAACGAGCGAACCGACGCGGCCAACGCTCCTCCCACCGAATACTAGATTTTAATTCGCTGGGATCCGCAAAAGAGGCTCGCGCGACCAAAACCTTAACAATGTATAATCTGCGTGACAAAGGCGCGTGTTCCGCTGAAGGACTTTGCTTCCGATGCGCGCTCCCGACACGTGCACGCGGCGTTTTGGAACTTTTTGGGAAAAAGTGAGAATAATTGAACAAAATAAGAAGTCAACGTTAGAGTCAATGTCAATTGTAGTCAATGTCTACAATCATTCATCATCATCATCATCATCATCATCATCATCATCATCATCATTATTATTATTATTATTATTATTGTTAATAATAATAGTAATGTTGCACAAAGAAATAGAAATATACTGACGGACCATCCTCCCTAAGTAATGGCGTTTAGAATACATCTCCATGATAAGCGGAAGTGAATTTGGTTGCAGACGTCACACCGCAGCAGACCTGCGTAACTGACAGAAATAGTTTTCAGGGTGTTTTCAGCAAACTGGCTTCAGAGGTGATTCGGTTATTCCGGACTTACAGTTATGAAGTCATATTGGATTCAAAGTGTCAGTGACTGGCTCCTGGCTGAAAGGCTTCATGCTTGTTGTTTACATCCAGAAGGAAATGGTTGGGCTGTATTGCGTCACAATCTGCATCGAGAGCCACATTATCTGAACAAATAAAGTTCATGAGCAAGTGGAGGAATACTTCCTCTATGATGCTTACCGCAATGTGCCAAACGTATCCAAGACATCTTCACATGAGAAGAAAGTTGGGAATTGAACCAGTGACCCTCTAATTAAGGCATGAGTAACAAAACACTGCTCTGCAGCAATGGCAACATCAAATTCACTTTTAGACAAAGTTGGACAAATCCACCTGTAGTTATAGAGACCTTAGTTACTGTGAAAAATGATAGTTATATATCATCATTATGAAAATGATTATTTCCACAGTTCCCGGCAGCAGGCCATGAAAACAGAAACATACTTGCATCTCTAATGAACAGATCACAGCGATCTGAATCGTTCATCTTAATCTTGAGGACAGTTAGAACTGAGAATGAAGCAGGAAAAAATTGTCCTTATGTATTTCTGATCAAAAGTGAAAGCCATGTTCTTATTGGAGGTTTACTGATCTGTAAAATAAGACTTTCATAAGACAGAAGACACAAGTCACCTGTTCAGTGAACTGAACTGTGTTTGGTGGGATGACAATGGATTCAGCTGACATTCAGGAAATATGGGCTGAAAACATACTGGAAAACTGCAAAGAATAGAAGTCACCAGAGCCTGAATTATTATTACTGTATTCAAATAAAAATGTTCTGAAAGTTTGTTTCTGTATGTTTAGTTGAAATGAGTTCCACGCAGGATACATGTGTTTCAGATAACTGAGTCAGAAAGTGACTAATGGATGCTAAACCAGGTTCAAAGGTCAACATTTTGCTCTACTCCTAAATGTACAAGGAAACACATATCAACTCAATATTTATTAAAAGTTATGCAACTATAGTTAGAGGTTTTGGTGTTACACAAACGTTTTTGGAGTGTTTATGATTTTTCTAACAATTTGCTTGAAGAGGACAGAGCAGTTTGGTGTTTGATTCATTTCACTTTATTTCATAAAGCATTTTCTATCTAGCCATATTCTGTTGGAACAGGTATTCTGATGAGACGCGTCGGATTAAAAGTACCTTTTGAAAACAAAATAAAATATTTATGCAGGAATAAAACATACTTTCAGTAATCCTACACCTGTGTATGACAAGTTGTTGTTCTGATGTGAGAGATGTCTGGATTTTATTAGCTGGAAGCAGATAATCATAATTAACAGATGTATAACTTTGAAAACAATCTGTGGAATTAGACTTAGTGAACTGAGTTTCTGAAATAAACTTTCAATAAAATTCTGGTGGATTATGACTGTGTGTACAACTGCGTTAGATAGTGGTAGAAATCTTCACAATTGACTCCAACTGTAGAATGACCAGAAAGGAAATATTTTATGTGGTAACCTTACCAAACAACCTTTGGAAGTATTGTACCGGTACCCAGAATCCTTCTGGTGCTCAGAACGCTCAGCACTGGTTTTATGATCTGACCTCGACTCCATGAGTTTGACACCCTGTGGTCCAAAGACAGTCACATAACTATTGTGCTATACGAATTTGGCATTACGGAAAGTTCAGAATGGCAACACATTTCAGATGTTATGATGTCTTCGTTATGGACAAATTTGGAACTAATTAAAATGAGATGGCGAAAACACATTTGCCCCACGTAAATAATCTGCTTGTTCTAGAACTTCACTGTCTTTCAGAAATCACTCACCGTTGTGTCTTTATTCTTGGATTTGAGCTTGAATTCTGCAATTTGCCAGTTAAACATCAGTAGCTGAGCTTTGATTGTCCGCATTTATCTATGGGATCTGCAGCATCAGAACCACAGACCTAAAAATACGCAACATCCCGATGAAGGCTGGTTCTGTTCTGGGGACGACTGACGAAACTCTGGGATGATGATGATGCAGAGAAGGATTTTACAGAAAGTCAAGAATATTATGGACAACCCTGAGCATCCTTTTCATGAGACTAAGAAAAATAAGAGCACCTTCATTCAGAGGCTTCTTCGAATTCCCTGTAATACTGACCGCTACAGGAGGTCTTTTCAGCCCACAACCATCAGCTATGAACTCCTTGAAGCATCTTGAATTGATGTGGTTTACAGCATTTCATGTCCATTTGGGATCATTGAAGTATTTTTGAATTGAATTTAGACTGAAGTTCATTTGACCAGTTTCTGTCACTGTTGCTTATTTTCTGCTTACGCCTCACTTGGCTCATGAAGTCATTAAAGTCAACACTGCAACAGAAAAAACATCCAATTTTATCCTTTTGCAAAGCAAATCTGACAATAGAATTCAACCTGGCCCACTATACTCTGGTCATGTGCTACTAGGAGCCACAGAATGATGGAAGACAAACTGACCATTCAGAAAATGTTTATCATCATTCCAATGCCCAATCCTTCCCTGCCAAAAACCCGTTAACCATAGACACAATGAGAACTGAGCGGCAGGAGAAGGCTTCAATCATTGCCTCTTGGTGATAATAATAAAACATTTTTATTTGTATAGCACTTTTCTAAATACTCAAAGACACTTTACAAGGAGAGAGAAAGCAACAATGAAAACATGTCAGGAATAAAAACAGAAACAACTTTTTAAAAAGAGGAAAGACAATGATAGAATTGTGGGTATTTCAACAACCGTCAAGTTAGCAAGATAAACTAACTACATGCTGGATCCATGAATGAATCATTATTCAAATTCAACAGTTTACAAAATACTCTAAAGTTAAAGTAAGTCAATCATGATTGGCTGCTGAGACCTAGTTATTATTCCATCCTGGGAATAGTGAGACACACGCATGATTTTATTAAAACAAAATTATTCTTACTTTATTTATTTTTTTTATAAATACAAAGACTAACTTTGAAGTTGAAAAGTGAGTTTTGGCTGTGTTGCTGAGCTCAGTCTTGGTCGGTTCTACTGAGGGCTCACCGGGTCTGGATCAGGAGCCGACCTCCGTCTCACTGCGGAGGCTGCAGAGGCTGCAGGCCGACGGCGCTGAACCCTGTAACAGTCAGGTCGGGACACAGAGGTCACTCCCCTTGCAGACGTCTTCAGCTGCTCCTTTGTGCTTGGACATAACAGGTGAGTGTTGAGGGGCGACACCTCCTGATGCACAATATACACAACACTCTCTCCCCAGCAGGTCAAAGGTTAGAAAGGGGAAAAACATTTCCCCCTTTTTTTTCTTTTGCAGAAACTGCATTCGACAAAGATACAGATATTGGACCGATGGAAAGAAAAAATTGTAACATTTAGCAACAACTTGTTGTTCCAGATTTGCAATTGGCTCCTGATAAAAAAAAAAAGACTTTATTTTATTCAACATAAGGGTGAGGGTGTGGGAGCACTATTCATAACGGGAAGGATAGATATTTTCATAACTATGGGGGAGAGAAGGACGGGGATAAATTCTTACCAACAGGGCGGGTCAGGGTGGAGACAGTTTAACTTCTATCCAGTACATGGCATAGATCATACATGAGGGTCAAGGCAACACATTGTTTTCAACCTAACTACTCAGAAATCAATCTCAACTAGTTCTCAACAGTGCCCTTCCCCATTCCCACACACAGCATTCCAAAAGGAGAGGTTCGGAAAGCGGCGGGCCGTTCGGGAGTCCTCCATCCTCCATCCCGGCTGTTGGATGCTGGATGTGAAAGGGGCAGGGTGGAAGAAGAGGCTGTGTTGTTGGGTGGCCAAGGTGACGATAGGAAGTGCTTGGCTGTC